TGAGAATTGATAGTCCCTCATTAGCATATGCAGCGCCCACGACATTAACCGCTGACTGTCGTCGATTTCTCGGCATGAGTGATATTGAGAAATAATTTCCAAAGGTCGATACGTTGCTAGACGTTATGACGATAAAAGTAGCTTGAGAAACGTTTAAAAAGCCAACTCTAAAAAGGTTAACTTTATTTTGTGAACGTGATCAACAACAATAATAATCTCAATAATCTTAAAGTCACTTTCACATCGAGGATAGTATGTCCGCCAATAATTGGGAAAGGTTGGACAATCGTAGCCAGTGACATTGAGGTAGAGATTAATTTCTTTTTATAAGAAATCTATAACGTTTGCTTTAAAGTTGAACTAGCTGGTGATAAATGTATGGTGCTTCTTTTAGGAAAGAAGAACTTCAGGAGGACAGCAACGAGACAAAGAAATGAACAGAGTGATGACTGATCCTACACAAAGATTCTTCTTTCTGCACATTGTCTTTAAATGGACACTAGTATTACTTTGCGTAGAAATTTTTAATTTTTTTTTTTTTAAAGACAAGAAGTCGTTTTTGCATGGTTTCGTAAATACGGTTTAATCGAAAGCGAGCGACAGTGAAACCTGCAATTCAGCCGTCAGATCTATTAGGTATATCAATACGGAACTAAAATTACAATTGGGACCGAAAAATTGAACGTAGGAAATTAGCTAAATGAGTATGTCTGCAAAATTTCGTCAAAAATCTAAATTAATCCTTGACTAGCATCACCATGATTTTATTTTTTAATTATCCCGTAGCATGCAAACGTGATCATCAAAGAGTGCGGAAAAAAAGCTGTTCTCAGGTGCAGGAGATGATAAAATAACAAACAAACGGGAGAGGGAACAAAAAGGGTTTAGATGCTAAAGACACAATCCTTACAAAAGAGAGGAAACAGTGCGCGAGAAATTACCGCAAAAAAATCAAACAGCGTAGAGAACAGCGCGCTAAATAATAATCTAAAAGTTAAACAGCGAAATGAACCAACCAGAGTGTAATGTACTTAAAAAAAATAGGGATGTTACGCATGCAAGAGCTTTCTTTTGGATGGATGGTTTAAAATGGGACATTAAGTAACTGATGTTTGCATTTTTGTAGAAGATAACGATCATTTACTTTCAAAAGATTCCAATAAAAACATCTTTTAATGAAGAGGAAAAAAAAAACAAACCTTCAAATTGATCTGAAATTAAGACACACGTATTTTATGGCATATTGCCATTGGCGTAGTGTAGGAGCGTTACTCTAAACACGATTTAACTTCTAAATTATAGAAAAATTTCCTGACGACCTTTCTAGCCCTGACAGATCACATTTCCGAAGAGAGATTTCCATGCACTTTCCACACCAGAGAATTACGTTCTTCTAATGAGAGTTGTTCTTTGACAAGTCTGCTGCTTTAAAAACTAGCATGTTTGATTTTTTCAAAAAATGAATTTGTCGAATATTTGCATCTACATAACCAGAATTAAAGAATAAAGATTAAGATTAAGGGAAGACAAGAGGGAAAAAAACCTGGTGGTTCAAAAGTTACTAAAAGGAAGTACTTCTCGGGGTTTCAATAATGTCCATTTAGGCGTCCGGCAGACTGGATGCGACATAAATGAATAAACTCGTGGGATTTTCACTTCTGGAAAAATCGTTCATCATTGTAAACACAGCTGACCTGAATTGTTCCTTTGTTCATTTTCTTTTCTCCTAAAGAATAAAGTCCAAGAGAGTTCAGCTGTGACACGAGAATATTTTTCCCTTCCAAGACTACATGAAGCCAATGATAACACTGAAACCTGATATGTTTGAAAGTCATTACGTTCCTGAGAGTGGTGTGTCGTATTTTTTCTTTTAGCTAAAATTTGCGTTTGATTGATGCGCATACACTGAGATCTGATACGTTTGAAAGTCATTATGTTCCTCAGATTCGTATGTCACACTCTTTTTTAGCTAAGATTTTCGCTTCATTGGCGCGCATACACTTATGGAGAAAAAGACTGTTTATTTAAGCACGGAGCTCGCTAGAAAAATGTTTCAATTTTGACAAAAAGTCATGATAATCTTCTAACTTTCATTTATCTCACAAAAGAATCAGGAAATAATCATTGGTAAAGCGAATAGAACGAGCATTAGGGAGAAATTCGTGAAAAAATATTGCTATGTGCAGACTAGGTTTTCATTATAAACCAAGAGATAAATTTTCAGAAAATATGTCCGTGGCATGCAGGTGCTTTATCGGCCGCAACAACACCAATGCATTTCCTTTTAAAAAACGTTTCGATGCGTTTATGTCTATCATTCACGCGAAGGCATCCGAAGACGCTGATGAAAATGGAGACTCTCCAAAACGGTTTCAAGAGTGGAGCATTTTGGAAAAGGATTGTTCTTCAAATGGTCCCTTTCCAGTGTGGGTGCATTTAAAACTGTGAAGAATTTCGTCGCTGACTTCATAAAAAATGTGTGCGTTTCAAACGCAATGAAATTAGTGTGAACAGTTGAGAAAAAATGAAAACGTTGATGTGGGTGACAATATCTTTCTTCGTTTTCCTGTAATTAAGAACTGAACTGAACGGACACCTCTGAAAATGCACTTGTGTGCTCAGGGCCTTAGAAGAAGGCTAAAAGTAGGTAGAGTACATTTGTGAACACACCAGAATTTCCATCGAACGAAATTCTCGTCTTTTAGAGCCACACAAAAGATGCAAACACGTAAGTCGCTCTTAGATTGATATGCTACTCAATGTAATTCTCATAACCTCTGTAGATCGTATGTGTCCATAGTATTTCGGTTTCCATTGTTATCTCTTCTACCAAGATGATGTAGGAGTGCACAATAAGTAAACAGTCTCTTCAAGGAAAAGGCTTATCACTGAAAGCCGGAGATATTGCGCTCTTCTTTCTCGATTACATTTTGGTATGTATATGGCACAAGACTTGTATTTATAAGCCGTGTTTTTTTTCGAGCTTTATGTTAACTTTTCTGAAACAATCATTGAACATGTCATAACGCTTGTATCAAATTGATTTTCCTTCGAATGTTTGCGTAAGAGCTGATTCTGGAGAATTCAATTTGAATGTAAAAGGGACACATTGAAGGTGTCTGTTGGCCTTACCTTCTGTTCCAGAACTCATGTTCAGGAGTAGAAAGAGCAAGAAAAAGATTATGATCTTCATGGCGATGAACTGAATTGTTATGGCACCACGAATTACAGGATGATATAGGCGTTATTTTCCGGTAGACAGGTTTTTGATATCTTTTAAACAAACACAGCTTGAGCTCAAGGTATAATTGTGTCAAAAAATGTCGTGAATTTGAGTTTCTTCCTCACAATCTCGCCTGAATAACTTGTTGCTGCGCGACGTGCCACTTTGTGAACATTACATAAAACTAAAATTAAACTGAACTGATACATCAATAGCAAATGTTATGGCTAGTTGAATAGTCATTTTCCTCGTTCTATGTAAACTTAAATAATAAATGTAACATCGACGAATATTTTGTCACTTTATGAACATTGTATGAAACCAAAGTTAAACTGAAATGAACGATACATCAATAGTAAATGTCATATCTAGCTAAACATTTATTTTCCCTTTTCCATGTTAACTTAGGTAATAAATGAAACATCGATGAATACTTTGTAACTTTTTGAACATTATGTTAAACAGAGATTAAACTGAAATGAACAATATATCAATAGTAAATGTTACACCTAGTTAGATATTCATTTTCTCCGTATCATGCGAACTTAATAAATAAATGAAACATCGATGAATATTTTGCCTAATTTGTAAAGATGTTAAATGGAAGTAGTTGATCGCAAGGCGTCCACAATATATGTCTGCTTCTCCTACTAATTCTCAAATAGTTGTCACCAGTGGCTGTTGCCGTTGTAAGGCTTCCCGCTCACTGCAAGTCAGGCTGGTGTTACTGTAACCCTCTTAGGAAGTACCGCAGTCTCATATATTTCTCAGTGTCGCCCGCATATACCAAAGGTTTTAGGGAAAATTTTTCACTTACTGAGGTATAACAGAGTCCAACAATGGAAATTCTTTATTGATTTAAGAACTGTTAATTCCATAGTTTACTTTTAAGGGAAGGCTATTTCTCGACTTATCACAATGATCCAGTTAACATTCTTTACCTTGTAGACCGGGCTCCTTCTTTCACAAATGTCTCTAAAACATTGGGTTCTGTTATTATGCTTGTAATAACAGTTGTATACATATGAATGACATGGAGGACACACTGAAATAAATTTTCATTTTGATTCAAAAGGTACTAATATTTGGCATTGGCGCTTTGTTTTCGGAGTACGAGGTGGAGTTCCGGTATTGACCCATATTAACGCAACGATTGATCTAAAATAGTCAGCAGAAGGTGTTGAGGTAAACTAAAATAGTCAGCATAAGGTGTTAAGGTAAACTAGATGACAACGTTTTCTATCATCGATGTTCATCAATCTTCATGAAAAGCAGAAATGTCACCCGTTAAAAAATGATCAGGATTATTTCGAGCGCGCGTCAGAAAATTTCTAGTTGTTAGTCATTTCTTGTCTAAGAGGCTTGATCAGTCAAGATTTTTTTTTTTTTTTTTAGTTAACTACAGCTAAACCCAAGGATTCCACCCCCTCTTTCAGAGTCCGAACAGAAGACATTTCTCACATCTCAGAGGACTAGTCTTTGTCGCTACTCCTCTGGGCCTGGTTCAGACCTTTGACAATGAGATGCCAAGGTAAAATTTAAAACCAAATGTTATCATCATTTACGGTGGATCTAATTGCCAGTGATAAGTTTTTCTCATCCAGGCTCTCTTTTCGCGTTAGGAAGAGACTGGCTGAAAAGAAAACAAATACATCCCAGGCACATGCGTATTAATTTCATGAGAATAAAGGAAATGATCGCGAACTCAAGAGTCTCTGGATTGTTAGACAATTTTTTCTTGTAAGTATCCAAGGAAAAGCATGGAGAACTTGCACACTGAGGTTAAAGGGTTAAAACTTTATTCTTCTTTCCTGTTTTCACTAACAATTACTTGCTCTGATACCCTCGGCCTCTTCAGTTCATAACTAAAGGAGACAAAATAAATATGAAATTAGTGTCATTTGTCACGGAAACTTATTTATATGACTCTTAAAGAAAAAGAGTTGCCTGAAAGACTTCTATGTTTCAACTGTTACTTATTGGGCGAGAGATCTAGTGGTGCGCAGAGTTCTGGGAGTTCTCAGCATCATAGTTCGTTCGAAATTACATCTATTCAGGCCAGGTAGATATTTCACTTCGTTCTCTTACCATCATAAACCAGTCCTCTGCCTTATCCAGTTGGTAAAGGTACTGACTCGGGCGAATACAGTAAAGTAGTCGGTCCTGCAATGTTCGTGACCCCAACTTACTGCTCCGCGGAGAACCCATCGCCCGCCCTCGTTGCAAACAAACGGTCCACCGCTGTCTCCCTACAGATTTTGGGAAAAAATTATTGAAAATATATACATATATATATATTTAAAGGAACAAAATGAGAGCAAATATATGAAGAAATTTAAAAAATAATAATTATAATAAAACTAGAACACAGCTATGGTCCCACAGAACAACAATTAGAAACAAACGAACAAACACAAAATAAACTGCGAAGAGGAATCACATCATGCACTTGTTAGCCTCCTTCGCTGCTATTTGGGCATGCGCATTCGAAAGAATAACTCGCTTTCAACTAATAAGTTGAGATATATACAAATTAATCTAATGAGGCCTTACACTGCTGTAAAAAGTAAAATGTTTCACAAATCCGAGCTTTCGCCGATCAACGGCGATGATGCCGATCAACGCCGATCAACGGTGATGATGTTCTTGATCGGCGAAAGCTCGGATCTGTGAAAAATTTTACTTTTTACAGCAGCGTAAGGCTTCATTCGATTAATTTGTATATATTTCAACAATGTTGCTGAAGGACAACATGAACAGATGAACAAGTTGAGATTTCTTCCCTGCACTCGGCGCACACGTCATAACCTCCAGTTGAATATTTCCCAAAAAAATGGGGCCCATCCGGCCATTTCCACCTGATCAATACAGTAAGTAAATATTAAAATAATGCGATCTATCGCTTGGTTAGAACTGTTTCTGTGTGGTAACCTGACATCCTCCGCGTCCCTGTCCTCCGGCACAGATCATGGTATCACTGTAAACACGACCGAGTCTTCCGTTAACAGAAGCACACCTTCTGTCATCAGCGACTGGCAGCATTGCTTGTTGAAGAATGTTAGCTCCATATCCACCTCCAACTGTTCGCCCCCATCCTTATTTTTTCAACGAAAGACAAAAAAGCTCATCAATTCGGTTGATCTAACAAGCCAGTGTAGGCATGAAAACAAATGGCAGCGATACAAGTTACAAAGCGTTTGTCCCAATCTTATAAGAACGGCAAAAAAAAAAAAACAGACCAAAAATGAACTCAGTTATTCAAGTTTATAGACGATGCTAGGTTCAAAGAAAAGAGAAAACTTGTCATACAATTGTTCAGGTTACAGCGTCAGTGTACCTGTAATGTAACACCGCGACCCAGCCGGAGCTCTACTATTTTGTTGTGGCAGACAAACTGGTTTTGCCATGTAACCCATCTGAATTGGCCTGTTTAGCTGCAGAAGAGCCACATCGAAATTCAACTGTCCATATCTCTCATGCATAATCACTCGACGTAATCCAAATATTTGGTCTTGACGAGGCCGCTCCCTTTGGGCATGCAGTCCTGCAAACAAAATGAAATGAAATCTGTTAAAAACCATGGAAAAAAGAAGGATATCTTCTACAGACAGGTTAAAAGGATTGTCAAAGCAGAAAATTTTCAAATCAACTTCAGCACAGACTACAGTTAAAGGCAGCGAACAGTTCACTCTAAAATTGTTTTATAGAAAACCAAATAATGACTTCCAAGGTGTTTTAGTTTTCAGCTCGAAATAACTAGACTTAATTTAATTTTTCATTAGTTCCTGTAAATTATAGGAACTTTTTGTGTTCGACTCAAACTGACGTTAGAGCTATCAAAGGGAACGCATTAATAACTCCCTTAAAAATCAAATTTTAGCTACTTCTTGCTACTGATTAGTAAAAATGCGATGTATTTTGTGTACTATTTGTGACAAGTTCAAAAGTTATTTAAGTATAACTAGCTCATGGCTAATTTTAGTGATTGAATTACCTACGACAACAGAGTATCCCCAGGGGCTCCGATCCTTTTCGACACAGTGAGAGGCAGTCAGAATCCACCAGTTACTTATGATTGATCCCCCGCAAATGTGCCCACCCCGGTGCCGTAGAGAGATCTGCCAAGGCCAAGCGTGGCGCTGAGCATTCTGTCCATTCACCACTCTAGATGCCATGCGCACTCCGCAACCTAACAGTAGGGAATGTTATGAGAAATATAACAAAGAAAATAACCCCTGTAACTGAAACTATCGACAAACTTCCACCACTAACCGTCACTGCCTTGGAAGTAAAATAGTGACCTACGAAGTAAATGACAGTTAACAACTATTCACCGAAGTGGAGGTGGTTAGTGGTGGATATTTACCGAGCCGCGAAGCGGCGAGGTAAACATCCACCACTAACCACCGACACTGAGGGGAATAGTTGTTTTAGTATATACTGAAACAGTGAGATAATATGCACCACCAAAAATTGATTTGAGTGATTTCTTCGCTTGTCACGGATGCAAACCGGGACGCCATTTTTTCCCGAGTTGCTCGGAGGTAAATAGCAAAGGATATTCGGAGTTTGACTAGCAAATCAGAGCGCGCCTTCAACGCTATCCACTGTTTTAGTATGTACTAAATTCCATCTAGCTGAGAGAAGCTCCATGTTCAGTGCTTCTAAATGCACATATCCTGAAATCTAAGAGTTGGTACCTATACTTGAGCAACTTTGGAGTTCAAGTTTTTTTTTTCCAGAGATTTTCTTCAGCTGAAATTTTTGGCAACGACACTAAAAGAGCTAGTGCTTCGTAGGAAGATTAACTAAAGAAAGCTAAAGTAGCCCCTTACTTTGGCCAAAAGAAGGTTCGAGAAGAACAGAAGTTACAGCCAATAGCAGATACGTCTTAAGGGATATCATGTTGACGGTCGAAGCGTAGTCGATATGCTGCTTTTGCTGCGGAGAATCTTGTGGTTTTACTCAAAATCGTTTTGCAACATCTGTGTAGCTGCTTATACATTGCAACTTTCTCGTGAGAACTGTGTATATTTCCACAACTAATATACTCCTTGAACAGGGCTGTTTAAACCAGAAGCATGGCGTAAAATTAAAAATGCCAGTTTTTGATTGACGCTATGCAGCCTATTGCAGACGTCGTGTAATAACGTGTGACATCTATCTTACTCCATCCTCGACTAAAAAAAACAAAGCTGCGGACGCGATATTATTGCTGGAGCCTCGCACAAATGCTCTACAATCTGTATCATGATATTTTTGTTTGAAAAGCTCATTATATTAAAACAAAAAAAATCAAATCAACCTTTTCTTTTTTCTCTAAATCACTGTTTGCTTTCAAAGAGGCCACTTGCACTGCAAATTAAACTAGTCAATTCAGAGCCAAATTTTCTCGAACAAATATCACTGCATCCGCTCAACATTTCATGGATTTTTTAAGCAGATTTGACTAAAAGAGTCGTGGCAGGTCTCAATATGAAGTTTACCATGAGGGTATCAATGGAAGTAATGGCTTTTACAGCTATCAGTTAAAATCTTGGCCACTTTTTGGCTAAAGTTTAATTTATTTCTATTATGATTAGCAGGAAAAAATTTTTACGACTAATTTTTACTAACGGTTACAATTAGTCATACGCGTGCCGGCTCTACATTATTTTGCCATTTTACGGCTAACAGTTAACAACATCGAGACCCTTTTTTGAGCGCGCTTACTATTGGCTAATCTGAATTATCTAGTCCTTTGGAACTGGCCGGCAAATGCATGTCCTTCGCAAATATATTGTTCGAGCTGGTCTAGCAACGCTCCAGTGATGTAAGGGAGCGATTTGCATGACAAACTTACAAGGGGCTTGCGAAGTAACCGCAATAGCAAACGCAGAAAAGAAAAGACGGATCAGTTCTTTTAACAAGCCTTTGATTGACCAGAACATTTTCTTGCGGCGAATTAAAGAGATAGCTAGCTAAAATATATGTCATTGTAAAATATGTAGTCTACCTACGATTTAATCGATCTGGAAGACAAACCGTTGTTTTGAAGAGATGAAAAGAAACATAATTTGATATAGATCTCTTCAATAACACAATCAGGAAGAGAAATTGTCAACGAGCGAAAAAATTCACTACGTCTTAAAAAACTCAGTAATTCAGTGATATCGTGACGACTAGTACGAGAAATGACCGTATAAAATAATTCGTCCAACTTTTTGGATCACGGTAGTTCTGGTATATGAGTGTTGAGCTCTTAAGTAAAAACTTGAACAATCACTATCACAGTGATGTAACCTCAGTAAGCGAGGCTATCGGCATGAATAACTATTTCCCGCAAAAGCTCTGCCCACGAACACAGTCGGTATATGACGAAGATAAAAGGTCAATCTCTCTCATTTAGAATGTAAGAAAGTGGAAGAAAATTAGGAGAGAAATATATATGATAAATTTGTAGTATCTTGAATTTTTTACAGCGCTGATTTTTGTTCTCCACGTACAGTTTTCAAAGAAAATTTCAAATATAAATGTGCCACCGTCGGTTTGTTTGTTTGTTTGCTTTTTTTTGGTCACTAAGATTTTTAAAATAATCTGTCTAACAAAATGTTTAGAGTCGTAAATTTAACGAGCAAAGACAGCAACATTGCACATTACGACTTTCTGGAATTATGGAATTTTAAGGTCAATTTTTACCTTAAGGAAAGGCCGAAGAGTAGAGAACTGGTGATAGGAAAGATAAATACAAACTAAAGAACATTATATGATTTGACACAGAATTCTCAAGAATGAAATAATAAGAAATTTATTACAGAAGATGAGGAGAGTTGTATAAAAACTTGAGGGTTAAAGGGTAAGCGGGCAAAACATCACTACCATTTACATTTCTACAGTCTCCATCGGGACAAAAGGTTATTTAGCTTGAGAATAGCCGCTGAACCATTGAGAACAGCAATTGGAACAAAGCAATTTATTCCAGACAGCTGGTCAGGTTTTAAAGCAAAGTAACACCAAATATAGTGGAGAGACATGTAACGTGAGGCAATTGATCTTGGTGTTAATACATCTCCGATTGACTCCATAAATCAAAAATCCTTTTGTGTTATTAAAGAACACTGTAGAAGATTCTACACAAAAAAACTAAACAGATTCGAGTTGGATGAGGAACGAAGTTAAGTCAGAAATACAGATTGCTATTACATTTTTTTTTAGATATCTGGCTTAAGATATGTGAAAATTGTTATGATGATTAGTGTTTGGCATAAAAAATTTCAATTTTGTATTTGTGAGCTCATTTATTTTACCATTTAAGACTTAGGAAAAGCCGGAAAGGAATTTCTCCGAAGAAAATTGATACATGTACAAATTTTCGCAGAGAAATGATAGAAGGAACTATAAATAAAAATTAATTGACTTCCTCTTAGGTGCATGAAACACAAGTAGTAAGTGAATAAACAAACAACAGGGAAGTGGGTAACAAAGAGCTCAGTGATTTTAAATGAATGATCACTTTTAGCCCCAATATAAATACTGCTGGATCATGATATATGACATGCATAAACTAGCTAAAAACTAAAGCCCAGAGTCAGTCATGCGAAAGAGGTAATAGCTCCTCAGAGGTAGTGACGGCTCCTCAGCAGGCAGAGGTAGAGCTTCCCGGCATGCCCCACATGAATGTGTTGCTGGGTAGAGAGGAGGTAGTAGTCCTCCTGAGAAAACCTAAGTCTAAGCAGTATTAATATGAGGGAGTAGTGCCTCTAGAAAACGAGTCTATGGGGGCCAAAGTGTGACACAAGAGCACTTTATCCCCACAAATGCAAAGTCATTCTTGCTTGGATTTTCATAGCCAAAATTTTGGATTTTGGTTATGAAAATCCAAGCAAGAATGACTAAATGAAATCTACAGCATCTATGCCATGTGGCTCTCTGGGCTAAGCTTACAGTCCATTGGTTGATAGTGGATCACGTGACAGGTGTGACATTTCACACCACAGTTAAATTAAAAGAAATCCTTTTTTCAGACTCATGACAACAATATTAAGAGTTGCCAATTAACTAAAATTTATTTAGTTTAAATAAATTGGCATCTAAAGAGAAGAGAGTTTCATCGGATCTTGAGGTTGAAAGGGCAAGCAGGTGAAACATCGCGGTCCACTTACATCTCAAAAGTCTCCATCGGCAGTCAAAGGTTATTTAACTTGATTACTATCGCTAACACGACCCTGTAAGAAACAAATCTAACAGACAGCTGCTGAGGTGATAAAGCCAAACTAACACCAAATACAAAGGAGAGACGTTAGATAGAAAAAAAAAACGGTTTTTTGGCGCACAGAAATTTGTAGAAGACGCTATTTTTGTCAGATATCTAAACCTACACATCCAAAAAATGATACACTGATTCTTACGTGAAACGACATTTTCAATTTTGCACTTGACAGCTCATTTGTTGAAAAACTGACTTCATTGACTTCTCTGCTTTCTTTCCTGCCTTTTAAAGTAAAGAGAAACTTATGCGCTTGAACTGTGGCTTTTAAACCTTAGTCGCCTAACGCGGGAATGCAATTTAACATGTACTTGTGGACACCAATAGGTGGTTTGCAACCAATCTCTCGATACACAGGTAACAATGGTGAAAGGAAAAAATGCTGGTGGACGAACAAAAGAAGCTAATGAGATATCTATTGTTTACGTCCACCAACATGGCGGCAATGACGTAACGTGCAAACCACCTATAACAATGGAAGATGGAAAGTTCTTATTCACATGGTGCAAGCAAGGTTGAAAAGATGTCTAGACAAGTCACATGTTGCTAATGCAGCGAATGCTCGACCTCTGTCAGCTGAACACGAAATTTCTCTACAAAATACAGCGGCATCTCTAACAAAGTCATTTGTGGAACAACCCACTTTACAACGATGTTGGCATTATTGGCTTTTGCTTCAGCTCTTTGATCGGCTTCCTTTGTTGAAGGTATGGTTTTCTTAATACCTTATTTCAAAACTAGCCTAATTCTATTCAATTATCTAATTTTCTCTCTTTGCAGCTGTGATTACTCTTTTCTCTTTCTTCATTTTCCCGTTTAAATTATTAACGCACAGTTATTAATTGGTTCGTTTGCTTTTTTGTTTTCATATCTTAAGGTTGTGGAACTCGGATCTCAAGAGCCCGTGTGGTGGGTGGCAATGGCGCAGCTCCCCATTCATGGCAATGGCAGATATCCCTTAGGGTCCGTGGAACGTTTCAGATATGCGGGGGCTCCCTTATTAAACGCAACTGGGTGATATCTCGTGCGCATTGTGTTGGCGGAGATCTCAGGCCAAGTTGATATACGGTTGTTGTCGGCGAGTAAAGTATGCCATAATGTTTGCCTTCTGTATTGTTGACAGTTTGTAGATCAGCAGAATGTTAAAAGCAACTATCATATTTAATTGTTGAACATTAAATATTTTAAAATACTTTTTTAAAGCGACATCTCTGATGGCAAGCCATGTCAATAAAGTAATAACAAATATCTGCCGCATACAGCTTCAAGTTTAAGAGTCAATTCAACAGTCACATTTTAGAAAGAGGTAATATCAAACTTGGAATGAAGCGGACTCTCACAATCTAATTGCGTTTCAGGAGCACATAAAAGGTTAGGTGTGACCTCTGTCCAAAAATCACACAAGATAAAGAAGGTCATCGCACATAGTCGATTAAGTATGCGTCATTTGAAAAATGACCTCGCGCTTTTGGAGTTGGAGCAACCCGCAATGATGAGCGACAAGGTGAACTTGATTTGTCTCCCACCGAAGGGAAGCAGCGCAGTAGTGGGATCAAAGTGTTACATCACCGGTAAATATATAAGTTAATAAACGAAGGAGGTATTGCTCCTATCAATGAGTATTTTATTGAGTTTCTTATTCAAATCACAACAGTAGATCAAAACAAACGAAATATGCACACGGAACCAATTCGTGTTG